TTATTGATATTTTCAACTAAAAAAAGACGTTTACCAGGAAGCGATTCTTTGTCTCTATTGTGGCGTAAATCGTCGTTATTAGCATGATTCTTCTTCTTTATGTACCATGTCCTTTCAAAACGTTGATTACCATCATAGCTTTTTTAATTTTATTCACTGCCATCCTAAATAGCATGCTTGTATCAACACCATACCAATCTCGCAAGTTCTTCAACCAGAGGTTCGTCTTCGTCCTGGACTGCATTTGTCTGCTATTTTTCCTTGCATGATATTTTGTAGCAACCTATATTTGAGACCTCTACATGTCCAAAATACTTCAGCTTTCTCTGCTTGATGCTTTTTATTATCTCAGTAATCTTCCTATATAAATCGAGAGTTTTGATTGAAAATTGTGCAATTAAGACTTAAGTCTTAGACTTGATTGTAAATAGATTGTTTTTCGATGCCAGTGCCAATATGTTGAGCTTTATATTCAATTTCTTGACAAAAATTATATATACCTACCAAAATTTTACCTTGTAATATTTGTTATAGACCCTATATAATATAGTTTGTTGAGATTAGATTGTTAAGGAACTTTTAAAAACATAAAAATATACAGGGCGTTTGATTAAAAATATAGATGATGGACTATACTAGACTTATGTGAATCACCGTGTACAGTTAAAAAGTTCGCTTTATGTTTATAAATCGAACATTTGAAAATAAAACGTGAAGAGTCCCGGCGTTTTTTTTTTTTTGAAAACGGGACACAAACAATTTTATTCCGTAAGTGGTTTTCACACTGCATCTAGAGAATTAGCAATTGATTGCCAACATCTACATAAATTTAATATTATTTCTTTAAGTAATATGAAAAATAATGGATCTAGTTAGAATTTAATTAGAGAATGAGTATGCCAACTTAAATTTCAACAAAATACATTGGAAGAATTATTTCCCACACTAGTGCTATTTACTAAAAAAAGGACTCAGCAGGCATTATTCACTGCCGACTATCCCCCGAGTAGATATTTACGAAGAAAAATGAACGAATTACTCTTCAAGGATTGGTCCCTCGCCTGTAATAAAAAATTAATGACACACCTGGATTTCCCTGTACAGCTAAAAACTATGTACGAAAAGTTTTACACTCCTCTGATTCAGTTTTCGAATTTATTTCGACTATTAAATGAAAATTATTAAATTACATGAGATTGACAGAAAATATTAAACTGCGTCATAACTGAAAATATTATCGTATTCTTCTAAAGGTTCCTATCTTCACTAATGTTGGAGACCACATTGACTCATCTTATTCTACTCTTAGCAGCTCAAACAGATCAGTTGAATTTAGACAAGTTGATTTGCTAAGATTGGCTTGCCAGAATATACGTCTGGTTCCATGGCTCTCTTGCCCTCAATTTTACCTTGTTTACCTGGATATGTTTTAGCTGAAGTGATAGAATTTCGGAAGCTTTTATGTTTATAAAATCAATTTGGTTTATGATTTTTCCTGGGGTATCACAGGGTAATTTTCATATATTAAGCCTTCTTGGATTTAATTCTAAAAATGTATTCGTTACAACCTTACCAGTCTCTTTTTAGAGCTGGATCAGCCTGTATCCTGTTTCGTTTTTTGTGCCAGGACCAAGACATATGTCACCACAACCTTGTCCTATTTTGGCGTTAAAATCGCTCATGATAATGGTAAGGGAATGTTTTTTGTGTCAGTTTTAGAGAGTCTTTTAGAGTTTGATAGACATTTTTCTATTTATTTTTTAATATATTCCGATGTCGGTGTGTAATCCGTAAAAAAATATTATGTCGAGTAATACAGTACATTCAATCAACTTTCACCTCTAAACGATTAATGGAATTTGCAGAAAACCTTTCGTAGTAGTAAAAGGCACGGTAAACTGCACTGGAGTTCTCCATACTCTTTTTAATCATTTACTTTGTTTAGAACTTAGACTATAAAAACTTATTCTTATCTGATTGATATTCCTTTATTTATATCCCAGTTATCTTTAACGTTTGCACCCAAGTAGGTAATACTGTGGACTCTTTCTAACTCTATTCCAGACGCTCTGATGTTCGTTGGTTGTAACTCCGTTTTGCTGACGACCATAAATTTTGTCTTAGAAGTAATAAGTATTAGCCCATATTCATCACATACTTCGGACACCCTGTTTATAAGTCGTTGCAGGTCTTCTTCATTGGAGGCAATAAGTACCGTGTCATCTGCATATCTGAGCTGTTGACATTAATTCAGTTGATTTTATTGCCTGTATTTTCAACTAAGGCTTCTTTGAAAATAAATTCGGAGTAAATATTAAAAAGTAGAGGCTATAGAATACATCCTTGCCTCACTCCACGTCGTATTTGCCACTGCTTCTGTCGTGTTGTGTCTAGCTTGTATGTTTGCACATTGATGCCAATACAAATTTTTGATAATACGGAGGTCTCGGTCATCAATTCCCACCTGTTGTAAGACACCTATAAGTTTGTCATGTTTTACTCGGTCAAAGGCCTTTTCGGAGTCGATAAAACACATATATACTGGTTGTTCTATACGCCTACATCTTTGAACCATGACCTGCAAACTGAAGAGTACTTTTCTGGTTCCAAGGTTGTTTCTGAATCCAGATTGTGTTTCACTTAGTTGTATGTCTATTTTGTTGTAAATTCTCGAGTGAAGTATTCTTAGGAAAGTTTTTAGTACATGACTCATCAGACTGATAGTGCGATGATCGCTATACTGTTTGGCATTTATTTTTTTTCGGTATCATTACAAATGTTGAAGGTAGCCAGTCTGTTAGTATATGTCCAGTTTCGCATATTTCATTAAAGAGGCTTAAAAGAGAATGTTTGCCCTTATCGTCGAGCAGTTTGATTATTTCGTTTGGAATTTCATCTGGACCGGTTGTTTTCCTATTTTTTGATAGCTTTATAGCTCTTACCATTTCATCGAGTTCTTTGTTTGGACCAGTCGATATATTTTTGATTTGAATTTCTGTTCTATCGTCATCAAACAGCTCTTTAATATATTCTTTCCACCTCTCTAATTGGTCTTGTTCATTTGTTTATTGACTATAATATTTCCTTGTTTATCAAGTAAACTACTTGCAGTTGATCTATATGTTCCAGTTATTTCTTTTACCTTTTTGTAGATATTAAATGTGTCATTTTTTTCTGTAGTTCTTCTATTTTAAGATATTTGTTGCTGTACCATTTTTCCTTTGCATCCCGAATTTTTCTTCTGATTTCTTTATGAATTTGATTATATTCTTTAGTGTTTTTATTTTTCTGTTTTCGCCTGCTTTCCATTAGTCCCAATATTTCATCAGTCATCCATTGTTGTTTGCGATTATTAATAGTTTTACACTTTTTAGCTCTTTCTTGGATAATGCTTTTGACATGATTCTTTTTTATCTTTTGTGTAATTTCATGACCATTATTTTGAATACAGTCAGTGTTTATTCGGTTAGTCGGTTGTTGGCGTTTTACTATTTTAAGTTAGAGTTTTATGTCACTGATTAATAAGTTATGGGACACCTAGTAAAGTTAAAACACTTTTTCATGAAAAAAATATTTAGACCTGTGTTATTAGTATTTCACATTTGCGGACCGAAAGAAGGTCTGTTTACTAGAGGGATAAAAATAATACAAAGTGATTAGCTACTAACTATGTTTATTGCTGGATCAAAAACTTGCAAACTAAAGAAACGATAATAGGTTTTTCAAAATAGCACAAACACTGCCATAGTTTTTACACAACCTTACAAGAAAAAGGTGTACTCAAACAACCAAACACCGCTTGTACCGGTGACGCTTGTACTGGCATCACTTGTACCGGCTACTTTAAGGTACGATTCCGAACACGACCGCAAACCGCAAACTGCAAACCGCAGACCTCAGACCGCAGCGACAGACCTACTGGTTCATATGGTTTCTTATGAGCTGTATGTCGAGTAGAGCGGCACTGTCCCCACCGCAAGCAGAACGTCGCCACCGCAAACCGCAGGACTGCACCAGAACCAGTAATGTCGCCGACCGCAGAGTGACAACACGTATTTTTGCTGTTTCTGAATATATCTTCGTTAGCCATTAGATGATTTTTAATGAGTATTGAATAACTTCCTTTAAATTGTCTATTTTTAAATAGAGACCTAGTCGGTTTCCTTTTTCTTTTATATTGCAAAAGTAAAAGATCGTCGTCATACGAACGATCAAAAGATATAACATTAATTCATCGTTGTTCATTGCGTCTGACATCCTACTTATACGACTTTTAATATTTTACTATTATACATTCCCATCGTCTAATGCTGTTGTCGCTGTTTTGTAGATGCAGTGCAGTTCTGCTCGGAATTGGTCTGACCGCAGACGACACTGTCACTGCAGTCTGCAGAATTTAACCTTTACACTTGTATAGTTCTCACAGGCTGACTTCCAGACCCCGAATAAGAATCTCCATTATGATGATTTGACGATCTCTCGCCGGTAAAAATTCTAGTCGGTTTTATGATGTGTGATAAAACAGCCATTGATCAATCTAAACAAACTATTAGATTTTGTATATTTGACTCGAAGAGACACTAAAGTGTTTTTCTTCGATGATTTTAAGACACAATTCGAATGGTTATACAAATATTCTGAGGAAACTTTTATGACATGCAGACTAAAAATAGTATTAATTATACTATTTTAGTCTATTATGTTTTCAGTTGTTGTTTTTTCCACTAGTTATTTACATAGTTTTATTACACATATCACAAAATCGATACTCAGAAATACAAGAAATACAAGTCATTAAATTAAATTTCAGTATTTTTAGATATTATTAAATTGAATTAATAAATTGTAAAAGTTAGTCTGTGTAAGGGTATTTCCAGAAATGTACAATTAGCACCTTCCAACAGTATATACATAAACATATACTCATCACTATTTACAAAAAATCGAATTTGACATTTTGGTGCTAATAGATGGCTAATGATAAATATAGTTCGCCCATTTTATTAGATACTTATTTAACTAGAGAAGGTGACTTGTTAACGTGTTTCTTTTAAAGTGATTTAATATCATGATAGCTAAGGTAAGTAGAAAAAATTAAGTTAAGGTAATTTGAGTTTAAGTTTACCTTGTGCTTTACAGGAGGTGATTTTTACATAAAATATTTAAATATAATTTAAAATTAAACAATGCTATCGCAGTTATACTGAAGTTTTTATCCCAGGTAAAAATACGCAATTTCCTCTATTATATGGTCCATCAAAATTAAACAGAAATGGAATCCAGTTGTCATCATCATCATCATCTTTGGCTCGACAATCCTCTGTGGATCTTGGCCTGCTCTAAGATTCGTCGCCATTCTGTTCGGTTTTTGGCAACATGTTGCCATCTTCTGATTTTTAATATTCGTAAGTCGGTTTCTACTCCATCTAACCACCTAATTCGCGGTCGGCCTTTGCTTCTTTTTCCTACAGGTGTTCCTGTGGTTAGCTTTTTAGCAATGGTATTTTCTGGCATTCGTATTATGTGTCCAGCCCATCTAAGTCGCTGTGTTTTAATGAACGTTATGACATCTGGCTCATCAAAGAGCTGATACAATTCAAAATTATATCTTCTGCGCCACTGCCCTTGGTCGTTTACAGCTCCAAATATTTTGCGGAGTATTTTACGCTCAAATATTCCCAAAAGTCTTTTATCTTTCCGCGTTAGTGTCCATGTTTCTGCTCCATATGTGAGGACCGGCCTCAGCAATGTTTTGTATATAATAATTTTAGCTCTTCTTTGAATGTTTCTTGAGTGGAAATGCTTTTGGAGTCCATAGTATGCCCTATTTGTAAGATTTATTCGTCTTTTGATTTCTTCGCTTGTTTTATTGGTAGCAGTCAATAGTGACCCAAGGTATGTGAAGTTGTCAACACGTCCAAAGGTATGACTTTCAAAGATTGTTTCTCGTTCCTCATTTGCTATCGGATCCTTTGTAACCAACAGGTACTTGGTTTTGTCTTCGTTGATGACTAGACCGACCTGTTTCGCCGCTGTTTCCAATTCTAGGAGATATTGCTCAACATCTCGCTTGCTACGCCCTATTATGTCAATGTCATCAGCATATGCTAAGACTTGTATCGATCTATTGTAAATAGTACCGCCGTTCCTAATTCGTGTATCTCGGACTGCCTTTTCTAAGGCAATATTAAATATGAGGCAAGCCAGAGCATCTCCTTGTCTGAGTCCATCTTTTATCTCAAAGGATCTAGAACTCTCTCCCTGTATTCTAACAGTGGCTTCTAAGTTAGACATTGTCATTCTCGTTAGTCGGATAAGTTTCTCTGGTATACCAAACTCATGCATTGATTGGTATAGCAGTGTTCTCTTGACACTGTCGTATGCTGCCTTGAAGTCGACGAATAGGTGATGGGTTTCAATATTAAATTCTAATGTTTTCTCGAGAATCTGTCTTATTGAATGAATCTGGTCAATTGTTGATTTTTCTGGAGTGAATCCAACTTGATATTTACCAACTATGCCCACTGTGTAAACTTGCAACCTTTCGTAGAGAATATTTGCTAGTATTTTGTAAGCAGTTGTTAACAGGGTTATACCTCTATAGTTGTCACACTGGAGCTGGTCACCTTTTTTATGTAACAGGCATATCACGCCTTGAGACCATTCACAAGTCTCATTATGCCAAACAAGAAGTAAAAGCTTATGCAGTGTCTGTAGTAGGGCATCGCCACCATTCTTGTAGAGCTCACTGCAAATTTGATCAACTCCTGGTGATTTATTATTTTTAAGCTTTTTAATGGCTTGGGCAACGTTTTCGATGGTAGGTGGTCTTTCGTTTGGGTTGAAAGGATTCCAATCATTTCGATTTGCTAGGGTGTTATCTGCTTCTTCGATATGATGGCCATTAAATTTTGCATCGAAAAATTCTACCTTCTTCCTTCTACATCCTTACAGTTGTACCTTTGTCTAATATATGTAGACATCTTAATATTTTATCCATGCCAAATATTTCATTTTGTTGTTTTGTTATTTGATCTTCTTCTTCTTTTAGTGGCAATCCGATTCGACTGTTGGTGATACTCATGGCAATCTCAATTTTGTAAACTGCGGCTCTATAAAGATTTGTGGTTGTTGTGTTGAACCACGTACGTGGATTTTTCAGCCAGAAAATTCTTCGCCTCCCTGGTCCCTTTATTTCCTTTTATTTTTTTTTGAAGAATCAATTGCAGCAACCTATATATTTTGCTGTTTCTCATGATGTGACCGAAATATTCAATGTTGGCTCTTTTTATTGTGGTTAACAACTCTTTTCCATTTTGCATTCTTAATAAAACGTCCTGGTTAGTAACGTTGTCGGTATAAAATATCTTCAGGATTTGACGATAAAGCAACATTTAGAAAGCCGCAATTTTCTTACAGGTAGCGTATGTAAAAGTCCATGACTCATCTCCGTACACCAATATAGAAATGATTTTTATGATAAAATCTTTTCTTTTAAAGATTTATGCATAAATCGTGGCATTTGAATAGCTTAGCTATTTTTTGAAATGCAGATCTTCCTTTCTCTATCTTAGATTTATTTCTAGGAAATGGTTCCAATTTTCATTAACATTCGTGCCAAGGTAGGTGTATGTTTTTACTCTTTCTATTGTTTGACTATTCACACTGATTCTTTTAATTTGCTTTTCCTTCTTAGAAAACATCATACATTTTAATTTCTTAATATTCAGTGAAAGTTCATATATCTGACTCACTTCTGTGATTTAATTCATTAACTCCTAGAGGGTTTCATAACTGTCAGCGAATATGTTAAACAGCAAGGGTAATAATATACATTCATGTCGATTCGCACGTTTGATTTTGATATCATCGGATTCTCCTGTCTCTGTACGGATAGGCGATGTTTGATTCCAATAAAAATTGCTAATAATTCTTAGATCACAGATGATTATTCCAATATTTGTTAATATTTCCATCAGCTTATCGTACTTTACTGCATCGCCCGCTTTATAGTAATCAATTATGCATGCATAAATATCGCAATTCACATCTCTATATCGTTGAAATAGCACTTGTATGCTTAATAGAACAGCTTTTTTTTTCTTCGCATAATCTAGATATCCTTTAATGTATGATTTTTAGAAATAAATTTAAAATGTAGCTCGGAAAGCTAATGGTCTGGAATTTATTGCAGTATACGTATTTTGTTTTCTTTGGTAGAGCAATAAACGTTAACTTCATCCATGATCTTGGTATTGCTCCGTTTAAATATATGTCTTCTTCTTCTTAAGGTGCCGTGCATTTCTGCGTAGGCGTCCACCGTACATCGTCTTGTCAGGTGAGATGTTAAATATTCTGGATTAAATAATTCTGTTTTTAGCAGCATTGCGAAGCATTTCATAGCTGTGGATTCCTGTCCATTCTCGAATATTGCGCAGCCATGACATTTTTTTACGTCCGAGACCTCTCCTACCCTCTATCTTCCCTTCGAGTATCAGTTGCTGAAAAGTGTATCGTTCTCCTCGTATTATGTGTCCCAAGTATGCAGTCTTCTTACTTTTTACATAATTAAAAAGTTCCCTATCCTGTAAGCCCGCTCTTCTGAGTACTTCCTCATTTCTGACCCTGTCCGTCCATGATATTCTGAGCATTCGACGCAGGCACCACATTTCAAACACTTCAAGTTTGTTAATGGAACTGGCCTTTAACGTCCATGCTTCCATTCCGTACAGGAGAACAGGCCACACGTAACACTTAAGCATCTTGTATCGGAGGTTGAAGTCCAATTTGCGATCAGTCAGAAACTTACGAAGCCTCAAAAAAGCATTTCTGGCTTGTTCAACTCTGCTCTTTATTTCATTCTCGGGGTCCCAACCCTCATTCAGCAAACATCCCAAGTATTTGAATTGCCTGACTTGTTCGATTTCTTCTCCAGAGACATGTATCTTTGCGTTGGGGTAATCATTTCTACTTATAATCATTGATTTTGTCTTCTTGATATTTATTTTCAAACCCCGAGCTTCACTTGCAAGAGTTAGATCATTTAAAAGACATTGAAGATCTTCCATGTTATCTGCCACTATGGCTGTATGATCGGCATACTTATGTTATTAATAAATTTGCCGTTAACTTTAATACCCTTAGAGTCTTCCACTGCTTCTGTGAAGGTTTTTTCTACGTATAAATTGAACAGCATTGGGGACAGTATACAACCTTGCCTTACTCCTTTTTTAATGGAGAAATCTTCTGTTTCGTTGGAATTTTGAAGACGTACTGTTGATGTCTGATTCCAATACAGATTGGCGATGATTCTTATATCCTTTGCATCCAATCCCAACTCTTGTAGGTATTTTATCATCAATTCGTGTTTTACATTATCGAATGCTTTCTCGTAATCGATGAAACAGATAAAAACATCCTTTCTTTGATCTAAACAATTCTGTATCAATGTTTGCATACTAAAGATCGCTTCTCTCGTGCCAAGTCCATTTTTGAAACCAAACTGACTCCATCCACTGACCTCGTTACATTTCTTAAACAATCTAGTGTGAAGTATTCTCAGGAAAAGTTTTAAAGAGTGACTCATTAGGCTTATTAGTCGGTGGTCCTTGCAGAAGTTCGCACGTGGTGTTTTTGGGAGGGCGATAAATGTAGATCGAAGCCAATCTTTTGGAATCTGGCCCGTATCGTAGATGTCGTTAAAGAGCTTGACAATAATATCTAGGTTTTCTTCATTAAGTAACTTGATTGTTTCTGCGTACAATAATAAATATATGTCATTATATATTATTGTTAGTCGGTGAGTACCCTCGGTGTTAAATAGCTTTTTAAGTTCAGCATATGCATTGTTAGGTCCAGGAGCTTGGTCATCTTTTGGTTGCGATATTGCTTTTTCCACTTTAAATGATAGGATTGGTAAGTGGTCATTACATATGTAGTACGGAGGTTGTTGGTACCTATTATCATCCAAAAGTCCTTGTAAGTATATGGCCCATATGCATATTTCTTGATTTTTATATGTGATGATGTTTCATTGTTGATTCTATTGATTTGATCCTATTCATCATCATAAACATCATCATCCAGCCCCATTTTCACATCCATTGTTGGATATAGGCATCCTCCAAACGTCTTCAGTTCTCTCTATCTTTAGCTGCTGCAATCCAGTTTGTTTCTATTCTTCTTAAGTCGTCGGTCCATCGGGTGGGTGGTCTGCCTCGACTTCGCTTGTCTGCTCTTGGTCTCCACTCCAATAATTTCTTCGTCCATCTTCCGTCTTCCATTCTAGCAACATGTTGATCCTATTATTGTAATATTAATAGAGAAGTTTCCAATTTTCCCTTTGATATTAAAAATATACTTTAACTTAACTGTTTTCAGAATCTTATGTCAAAACTATGATGTCAATGTAATAGTAGTTTTGTAGATTAATAAAATTTCCCTTGTAGTTGTTTAATTAAAAACATAATAATATATAAAATATAGATGTATTTATTTGAAGTTTTTATTTTTATTATTATTATCTCTTATCAATACTATCTTTTCCATCTTCATCTATTGCACGATATACTTACACCTTACACCGGTATGCTAGATCAAATTCCTAAACGTGTCGGCTTGACGCAGTGACGTCACGGCGAAGCAAGAATACCGCGCGAAACACATTAGATAGCTAATCGTGGCTTTTCTTAACGTTTAGACATATTAATTCGCCGGCGATTTATTTAAAATTAACGTTTTTATATAAAGAAAATAATTATAGTTATGGCTGTGTGTGCCATTTTTGGATGTGTCTTGAGAAGTCGTCTTGAAAAAATGGATGATTGCATACCAACGTCAAGGTAAAATAAATTTAAAAAATTGTAAATATCTTTCATCGAGTTAGAATCTATGGAGATGGCATCACGTGACTAAAAACGACCTCACTTCGGCCATATTGTTAAGAATCATCGAAGAATATTATTTTGACACTTTTGAAAAATCGTATGTTTGTTTACATTTGTTAAACAACATAATTAAACAACAAAGAAGAACGTCAAAAGAAAAATAAAAACGTGGGATTAGAAGTACTACCACATATAAAGAGATTTGAAATAGAAAAAGCTTTAAAAGATATAAAAAATAATAAAGCTCTAGGACACGACGGTAATATTCCGAGCTTTTGAAAACAAGCAAGACATTAACAATCCCTGTACTAACAGAGCTATTTAGTAGATGTCTGCATAATAGAAAGATCCCTAAAGACTGGAATAAGAGTCTAGTAATACTCTTACACAAAAAAGGGACAAATGTGATCTAGAGAATTATAGACCTATATCGTTGCTCTGTCAAGTATACAAACTATTTATGAGAATTATTAACAACCGGTTGAACTACAAAATGGACAATTACCAACTGGTTGAACAGGCTGAATTCCGCAAAGGATATAGTACATCACCTGCTGACAATAAGAATATTGATACAGAAGGCAAATGAATACCAACTGCCTGTATTTCTTGCCTTCATCGACTATAAAAAGGCATTTGATAGTATCGAGATGTGGGCCATAGAACAAGCTATTAATAATTGTAGAATAGACTCAAGATATAGGCAACTAATACATAATATATATGAAAATGCAAGTATGATAGTACAACTAAACAAAAATACAAATCCCATCCCCATTAAGAGAGGAGTGAGAGAAGGAGACTATCGCTAAAGCTTTTCAACCTAGCCCTAGAAGACGTCTTTAAAACTACAAATTGGTCAACCTATGGCATTAACATTAATGGCAACAAGTTAAAATACCTCAGATTCGCTGACGACATAGTGAATATAGCGAGCACATTCGAGGAACTGCAAATTATGATGGGGGAACTAGCAGACAGCTCCCAATACGTCGGCCTAAAAATGAATATGAAAAAAACAAAATAATGACAAACACAGATGACCCCAGACGTATAACTATAAATGGCAGTGAGATAGAACAATTCCAAAAATATATCTACCTAGGACAAATCCTAAAACTCGACAAAGAGAACCAAAGTGTGGAAATTACTAAAAGAGTAAGAATAGCATGGGCAGGATATTCGAAAATTAAGTTGGATACTTAAGAACCGCAAAATACCTTAATACTCGAGGAGCAAAGTGTTCAACCAATGCCTCCTTCCTATCATGACATATGGATGTCAAACCTAGACCCTAACCAAGGCAAACATGAATAAACTAGCCACAACAGAAAGAACAATGGAAAGAGCAAACTTAGGTATACGACTGTCAGATAAAAAGAGGAACGACTGGGTAAGATCAAAAACAAATTCGAGGACATAACAACAAAAATTGTCAAACTTAAATGGAGCTTCGCAGGCCGCACTGCTAGACAAAAAGACCAACTTTGGAATACTACAATACAATATTAGAGACCTTACGAAAGTAAACGACCAAGAGGAAGACCATAGATGAGATGGGTTTTTGACATTAAAAGAATAGCCAGAACAAATTGGAAATCTGTTGCTCAGGATAGAGACCGATGGAAGAAGTTGTGAAAGGTCTATGTCCAAACATGGACAATAGAAGGCTAAGAAGAAGAAGAAGACCACCAGCAAGGTTTTACTCAATATATAAATACAACTATAAATTTTGATACGGCTTTGATTTATATTTTCATTTGTCTCTTTTCAATAATTATTTAATTTAAACAAATTTGGTTTAAAATTTTTATTTTTATTATTTTATTAAATTCTGTCATTACCATCTATTTTAAGATGAATAAAAATTGCATTTATTACAGTAGTATACCTGTCCCTTTTCCACGAGTCGACTTTATCGCTATCTCTCTCTAATAACAACATGATACTGGGATACCCTACAACATTAAATCGGTCTGGCTGTTGAGGAAACAGCGGAATTATTGTCTGACAGATTAATTTTGCACATTTATTTGTAAATTAAATAAAGTTTAAATTACAGATATACTAAAATAATTTAAATTTTCTTATTACTACTTATACAAAAATAGCACCTGGCGCATAATTGTCATCGAGAAATATATCTGGAAATATTTCTAATACTCTTTAACCTCAACCTGTACCAGCAGGCAGATAGCTGGTACGCTGTTTGAGGGAGCATAAAGAATAACATATTAAAGAACCAGTATTTTTAAAATTTTTCGACGTTTTTATGCTATAATCATGTGTTGCGTAAGTTTTGTAAGTTTATCTCTATACCTATTTTGTGAGTACTTCTATGCGTTTGCTTTTTATCATATATGTATCTGACCTTCTAATCTTCCGCTACAACTATCTTCTATCCTTTATCTCTGTCCTTATAGGGCTAGTTTGCAAAAAACCATTAGTGGTCTGATTTCCGATTTTAGCAACAGTTTCTTTTTCTCTGTACAATATTTTTACAGCATTTAAATCTACATTATTTAAACCTGCTTAAATTATAGAGATCCATAGCTTCTGTAAAGAAACCGAGTCATATGAAAGTCTTATAAAAACCGTTTTATTTTAATACTAGCTATATTCTCATGGCCTAAAATCAGTTAAGTTAGTTTTTTATGGGTACAAGAGAATTAGATTATACTCTATAATTAAAAATTTTGTCAAAATTACTTTGCTTGAACTACAACAACATGAAGTCTATTTTATTAATTTTAGGTAATAGTTGCTATTCTCCTTGCCATCTTGACGATAATACAAAGCAGTAATGGTTTTGGCATAGGCATTGGTACAGGCTTCTATCGTGGTGGAGCTGTAGGATTTGGGTTTGGTGGAGGTTACGGATATGGCGGTTATGGAGGTTATGGTTACCCTTTTGGAGGATTTCCTCGTAGATTTATAGGTTTCGGAAGGCCAGGCTTTCATCTCTACCGTCCTCTATTACTACCACCCCCTCCTCCACCACCACCACCACCTTTCTATCCTTATTACTGAAGAATGTGTATTTTTCGGACGTTAACCATAACTAATGATACACTTTATCTGCATTGTTTCTATTATATACTATTTTATTATAGTATAAAAAGTATCGTCTTTTGTAACAGTTATAATATAATAATATATAAACAATGATATATTAACAACATTTATTCGTTATTTTTGTTGTCCTTTTTAATTATACCTGTTAACTAAATAAATCGATTAGAAAGCCAAGCCGGGAAGGCGATCGACTCGCATACAAAGAACATGCAATTATTTTAATGCCATAGAAAACACCAAATTTATTTATCCAATAAACAAATAGAGGATGATTTTAGGAATAGATAGATAGATAGATAGATAGATAGATGGTTTATTGGTAATAAATTAATACATAAGTATTTTTTACAAGTCAAATAAAATAAACTAAATGTCAATATAGTCAATATGCACACATAAATATAAACACAAAACATAGATACATTGTTTTAAATTATACTGTTAGCAATTACAACAAATTAAAATTGGAAGTAAAATACTTCACATATGTAAAAAAAACATTCACTATAAGGTAACTCTTAATTTTTGCCTTAAACTGATGAAAATTAAGAGCCTTTATTCTAGCTGGCACTAAGTTGTAGAATTTTATGGCTAAATACCTTGAACCATTTCTGGATCTCTCAAGAAAGTTAAATTCTGGTATAAGATTATTGTTAAATCTGGTGGGATAATTGTGAAAATCTACATGCGCATTGTATTGGCTAAGATTTTGTTTAATATGCAACATACACTGCATAATGTATACACTAGGTAAAGTTAAAACTTTTAAAACTCTAAAGGAGTTTCTACAGTCTGCTCTATAAGACAGCCCAGAGATAATACGAACACACTTTCTTTGTTGCGCAAACACTTTATCGATATGACTAGAGTGACCCCAGGAGAGAATAGCATATGTCAGATGAGAATGAAAATTACTATGATATGCTGTTAAAATAGTTTCCCTGGAAGTCACTTGTACAAGGTTCCTGAAGAGAAAAAGTTGTCGGAAAAGCTTTTTCGATAGATTAACTATATGTTGTTCCTAGGTTAATACTGCATCCAAATATATCCCCAGAAACTTCGCTCCGGTTACACATTGTGGTAGAGCAACGTTTTTGACACAAGTGTTATTTCTTAGAGTAAAATTAACACTTTGTGATTTAGAGTTGTTCAAAGAGAGACGGTTAGTTAAAAACCAACTGAATAAGTTTTTTTCAGATGTTTGGTAATCAAAGATTGGTAAATTTTGAGAATCCCACTGGTTGAAGTGAATAATCATGACCAAATAGAAATACAAGTTTTTTTCAGATGTTTGGTAATCAAGGGTGTCGAATTCAGAAGGATGATAGCTTGCATAGAAAGTAGTGTCATCAGCAAATAAAACAGTGTTGACTGTTTCATTTTGAGAGTACACTAGATCATTAATATATAAAAGAAATATTACTGGACCTAAAACCGAGCCTTAAGGGACACCAAATAACAAAGATTGTTTTTGAGAATCACACTGGTTGAAGTGAATAATCATGACCAAAGAGAAATACAAGGTAAAACTGTCAAACCAAGAATGTTAGTTACACCAGCGGAACGACGTGTGCTCTTCAGCTTATGTCCTACAATACCACATGACTTACTAATCACTGAGTTAAAAAAATCAGCATAATTCCTCTTTTCCCCATAACATTCCTAAAAATTGGTGCTTCTATGCCGGAGTACAATCACATTCTTAGATTCTGTGGAAGACAAATATATATCAGCTCTTATACACCTTGCTATAACTGGCTAGTCAGGTTACATTGTATCACAGTGCTTCGTACCACTAGCTCAATTAACTCCCTAACCAAAGCAACGAAACATCCATTTTCAGCACAACAAATGTACCTTTGCAAAAATCCAATGATACAAACCCTTCTCAATGTAAACAAATGTCTATTTCTAATTACCCTAAGATACCAAACAAAGTAGATGCACCAAATAAGGACATTCATTTAAATAATCAACAACCAAAACGTAGCTTTGATGAAATTGTAACTTTTAAAACATAAAAAACTGTAACATTTTGCTAACAACTAAATTCCAAGCAAAAGCTAAAAAAACCAAAATTAGTTCAGCAAGCATTTCTAAATGCTCATTATCTCTTACTTAAACCTGCTAAAAACTTCATAGAAAATCTCTCTCCTTTCACTCTAAACTTTGACCAACTTAACATACTACTAATGAAGATTAATGGATCAACAGTTTCTATAAGCACGATTCAAGAATATATCACAAAGTTTAACCCCATTTAAAGAAGAGATCCATAAAACGCAAATTCACGTCCTTAAGGAAAAATCTATAATTGACAATGAGACATCGAACTGGGAAGGTGAAACATCTCAATTAAGCCAACATTAAGATTCCAGTATCCAGTTCAATGGAATATTGATGATTTTTCCTATGTTCTAACATCTAATTGGTAAAAAAGCTCCTCATGTAAAATATTAAAAGCATCACTTGTTTTCTAGTCCTTTCCGACTCTCTCAGTTCTCTTAGTTCAGTCAAAGCTATGCAATATGTATACCCTAAACACCCCATTGAAAAATGATCAATGAAAAAACTAATGGAAGCTCAAGTAAATTTCACAAAAATCCACTTCCTGTGGATACCATCTGATATAGATATAGAAGGAAATGAACAAGCAGATACTAGTGCTCGTAACACTATCACCAATGGCGCATCAGAAATAGAGTGTCGGAGTGTCGCTAGCGATCTAAAAGTTAATTTCAAAAATAAGGTGTTAATTGCGTGGAATCAGGAGTGGAATGATTCCAGTTCTCAACTCAGAACTATCAAAAGTGACATTTTTCAGGATGTCCACTGCCAGAAGCAGAAGATCTCAAATTATTATTACATGTCTACGACTTGGGCACGGTAGGTATACTTACACCTATCTCTTCTCCTAATAGTGAACCCCCAAAATGCAAAACATGCAATACAGTAGACAGTATAAAGTACTTCTTGATGGACTGTCCTAAATATGTAAATTAAAGACATTCTTACAATTTTCCAAATAACCTGAAACCATTACTCCATCAAACTTTTGTTTCGATTAATTTATTAGGATACTTCAAATGTATCAACATGTTACACAAAATTGTAATTGTAATTGTAAATGTAATTAAAATTAATTTAAATTTAATTAATTAATTGTTACAAATGTTTAATTGTTTACAAATTGTAATTAATTGTTACTACGATTGATTTTTACAAATGTTTAATTTACTATTGTTACAAATGTAACAGAAATGTCGCTAATAACCTTCGGGAGGATGGGACTATGTCTTTTTTAGTTAAAAAATGTACTTTTACAGAACAATGGCCATTAAAATATATACTTCTTTATAACCTTTATATTAAAAACTATAAACCATACAAAATGTCATGTACTTATTGAAGAAGAAGATCGGTATATACACTCAGGTACAAAAATTCAATCCATGGCATATTACCAATTTACTGCGCGTTTTAAAACTTATATATTATGACATATATAAATTTAGAGAAACCCTCGAATAAGTACAATTATTAATATTTATTTGTTATATATTATTTTTAAATTTATTATGATATTTCTTGTAAACAATAGGAATTTATGTTTTTGTCAAAAATTTGAGTTTGATAAGCGGCAAGAACTTAATTTGATATCGTTCTGATTTTAACAACCAGACCAATTTGATATTAAAAGGTTTTGAGTTCAGAATGTTTAATTGTAATAAAATGGCATTCAACGCCAAAGGATGTTATAGCTAATATTATGTGCAGGTGCGATTATTATGTTATTCAAAGAGCCGTTCAGTAGTTCAACTAAAATAGCAAATACACTTGCTAGAAGATCAGTATCAAGTTGTAGGAGAGCAATATCCGCACACGATAATCGATTTATGGTTTCGTTGTGTTTTATAAATAGAGATTCAACTTTAATTAAGCTGGCAAATTGCCTAAGCGAAGTCCGAAATGTGGATGTAAGTAGGTGGACAGTGGACAGTATTATTCAGTGCTATGTTCACTGGTATTTGTGAAATATCGTAGAGCTCAACTTGCTTTTGCAAGAAAACACAAAAATTGGAATTACGCATATTAAAGTAATGTTTTCTCCTGCTATGAGTCCACGTTTTGCTTGAGGTCAACAAATGGTTACGAAATAATCTGGAGAAGACAAGAAGAATGATTTTCCCAATGCAATATTGGCGACAAAATAACCTATGGAGGAGGCTCAATTATGGTTAGACGCTGATGTCAGTGTCATGTCAAAAGTTAGTGAGATTAGCATATGGTACTTTTTGTGCCATTTATAGAATCAAATTTTATTTTTATGGACGATAACGCGCATCCCCACCGTCCTAGAATTTTATAAAAATGAATCTTAGAAGAAGTCGAGATTGTTTTTATGAATTGGTTAGCTTCCAGTCCTAACTTTAATCCAATCGAATATCTATAGTATATACTGGAAAGACAAATTCAAGTTTGGTTACCTCACATAAATAACTTGTCTTACCTTAGTGAGGCTCTTCAGACAAAGTGAGATGAATTAGACTAACTTCACGTTAAAAATTTAATTACCACAATGCCAAGGTATATGCAGACTTTTAAAAAAGCCATAGAAGGATATACCAGGTAATAATAACAAATGACATAAATATTATTTTGTTATAGCTGTTTTTTATCAATAAATCTACTTTGCATTTTTTTTATTTTCGAATAATGCTATATGCTTTTAAAAATAATTATTTTTTTTTGCATGAATTCTGTTTTTTATTTATATTTAATGTTTCTTTTTAAATATATGCCCTAGCTATAAGTGGCATCTCCAAAAATGCATCTTCTTTTCTGTAAAATAGACGTGTATATTATCCACGATTTCGTAGATTGTTCGATAATTATTTAAATTTTGTCAAACATTTAACTTAAAGGTCTTATCTATATTACAGATTATCCTTGTGCTCCTCATGTTCTCGCTTTTTACTGAAATAAGTGAGTGTCGAGGAGGCGGTGGAGGAAGAGGAGGCGGTGGAGGAAGAGGCTTCGGTGGAGGAGTTGGAAGAGGATTTGGTGGTGGAGTAGGAAGAGGATTTGGTGGAGGATTCGGAAGAGGATTTGGTGGAGGATTTGGAAGAGGATTTGGTGGAGGATTTGGAAGAGGATTCGGTGGAGGATTTGGAAGGGGATTCGGTGGAGGATTTGGTAGAGGTTTTGGTGGAGGTTTTGGTGGATTTGGGAGACCACTTATTGGATTCGGCGGATTTCCAGTTTTTCCTTTCTTTAGAAGGCGTCGTTTTTATTATTAGATATTAAGGTGATATATCGGTATGGTTATTAGTTTCAGTAATGTAAACAATAAGTAAATAAAGATGCATATATTTATGTAGTACGTTTATTTTCTGTCTACTACTAATTTATAATACATATTCTTTACATACATAAATAATAAATTTTGATAATAATATTTCATTAAAATTTAATGGTCTTGAACTGTCAAATTATGTTAATTTTGGTACAAACTTCCTGTAAATTGCTACCACTTTTAGCAAACATCAAAATACTCTTGTAGTTTACCTACTCGAGTGGTTACCTAATTTTGTATAGTAATTGCATTACGTTCTGCATTAGTTATTTTGTTATTTATAAATTGCTTATATATTATACTTACACTTTTTTTTCAAATTCAATATACTATCTGAATGTCAGTATGGCTTTCAAGAAGGAAAAGCCACTGAAGACGCAGTCTGTGCTCTAACAACTAACACCTACAAAGCTCTTGATAATGGAAAACCAGCTCTTTGTATATTTGTAGACTAATCAGGCATTTGACACTGTTTCACATAAAATATTGCTAACTAAACTAAAAAAATATGGTATTAGAGAGCTTGAATATAATATCCTAGAAAGGTATCTTCTAAACAGGTAACAACATGTTTATATAGATGGAGAAATTGGTAAGGGAAAAATTATATCCTATGGAGTCCCGCAGACAACAATCTTAGGACTAATTCTCTTCAATGTTTACATCAATGATCTATTAAACTGAATATTACAGGTAATATAATAATCTTTGCAGATAACACAGCTATGTTCTATGATGCGAATACATGAGTTTAATACAAAAAGCCGAAACAGACTTTGCTACAACTCTAATAATCTAATAGTTTTTATACCAAAATACACAATTGTGAAGTGTTTTAACTTCTGTGTTTTTTTAAACGATGGTATACAGCTAATTACGGAGTTTTTCCCATTAATTTTGTATTATGGACAGTATGGTCAATTTGGCTCTTCAGTATTTGCGGCTAGCAACACAAACAAACAACTTAAAGTTAGATATATGGTTTATCCACCAAATTAAAAAAAAAAAAAGTTTTTATACCAAAATACACAATTGTGAAGTGTTTTAACTTCTGTGTTTTTTAAACGATGGTATACAGCCAATTACGGAGTTTTACCCATTAATTTACGTTAGCTATGTTAACGTAATTTGTACAAAACGCAAAAATCATTCATTTAAAAACTAAAACTGTATAAAAATTATTTCAAAAATGCAAGAAGTAACTTTATTTCACTTCTATTTAATTTAGTATAGTAATAATACAATCAAAATTATCTATAATATAACAATATAGTATTATATACATGTATGTCATCATTGTTGGTTAACTTTTTCATTACGCTATTCCTCTTGCTCCATTTCCATTTCCGGGACCACCACTTCCTCCTCTATTTCCACCATTTCCATTGCTTCCTCCGTGTCCTGAGTTTCTTCCACCTGAATTACCTCGATTAGCTCCATGTGGACCTGCATCTCTTGAGGCCTCTGTGAATTGGCCTTGTATTAACAAAACTGCTATCAAGAGAACGAACTGAAAAAGAAATTAATGAAATAAAATACAAGGTTTATTTTGAAAATTAATATAAATAAATTTAAATATATATATATATATATATATATATATATATAATATACGTATTTCTGACTATTAGTCCTCTTCAGTACGGTGCAGCCAAGTTAGAAAAGGAGCACGTTAACTAGGGAGAGGGTCACTACAAGAGCAATCACTACAAGATTTTGTGGCATTAGAGTTAGAAGACCCTAATGGTTTCCAGGACAACAACTAACAATAATCACGGAGGAAGCTACAGCTACCTGGGAAAAGTTCTAACTTTAAAATACACATACAAAATTTCAAAAAAATCGCTGAAACTGTTTTGGAGAAGTATGGCAAATAATTATATGAGACTAACATGTATATGTATATATATATATATATATATATATATATATATATATATTTATTATATATATATATATATATATATATATTTTATATATATATTTATATATATATATATATATATATATATATATATATATATTTATATATATATATATATATATATATATATATATATATATATATATATCAAATTTCATAAAATCGGTTAACCCGTTTCATAGAAGTATGGCGACTAACTGTGTGACCCTAATAATACATATTAAAAAGATTTGAAATATTTATAAATTTTTGGTATATCGTAAAATCGAAAAAATTTAAAAATTTTCGGGAAAATTCGAAGAAAAAGGCCCCAGAACCAAAAAAAACGTCTCAAAGGGAAACCGTGTCAGCCTCGGCTGAATGAAGCGATACAGAAGTTTGAGAGAATTTATATGTATGTAGAGATATTATATGTACTATATACTTCGTAGAACAGAAATAGTTTTAAACCAATAATCATGTTCATTGCAGTTAAGACCTATGTGTATTTAACACACAAAAATAAACAATTCTCTGACTTTTATGACTGTCAAAATAGTTTTTAATTTGGAGTACATATATTATGTTTGAGCTATTACTAGAAAAAATTTATATGGCTATAATATAATTGTGATACTTGTTTTATTCAAAAAAACAATTGTTAAAACTATTTTTAAGTCTCTTATAAATCTAAGTATCAATAACTTGTCCTAGACACATGTTTGCTTGTAGTGAAAATATATAAAAAAAATAAAAATAAATGACTTACCACAAACTTCATGTTGCTTGTATGTATTGTGATTGTTAAACACTGACAATATTGATAAAATGCATGCCGTATTTAAAGTGTTGGAGATAAACATTTATGAGGGGTTTTACATTTTTGAATTCGTAGAATATATTGCATTAAATAATAAAGTATTTTACATAAGAGTTTTTATTATTTGAGTTAATTATCATGCATTTCATAAACGCACATACAAGGTGGTTCGGTATAATTTGTAATGAATGCATAATTCTTTATTAAAATTTTTTATTTATATCTTACAATATCATTACTATTTTAATGGAAATAAGCCACAATTTAGGTTCAAAATAAGTATATTGACGTTTCAATTTTCACTTTGGAAATCGTTCTCAAAATAAAAACATTAATATATTAAACAAATTTTGTTTTTGTTAATTGGTGAAACATTCATCTTATAATTTAATTTTATCTGACTCAGTTATATTGACAATTTAGACATACATTACAAATTTTAAAGTAGACGACTTTAAAATAATATTGCCAATATTGAGTTACATTCCTGGGACGACTTTATTGTAAGATAGTTCATTCGATTACATGAAATCAACTTTAACTTGAGTTATCTGTCAGAAATCCTGTTAATAATTCCATAGTAAATTATAAGGAAACAAACAGAAAAAAAAATTCATAATACTATCCAAATAATATGTAAACATAATATATTATGTTTACATATTTTTCTAGCGAAATGTGTTCATTGTGGAGAAAATCATCCTGCAAACTACCGCAAGGAAACATTCACCATCGGAACAAGAAAAAGAGACTGATCTTGCATTAAAAATAATATTGGAAATGCTCAACAAGATTGATGACAAAATAACTCAAAATCGATACTAAAGTTGTAGCGTTTTAAATTTGTTTTAGCTATAAAATATTTATGATAAAATTTTGTAGTACGCCCCTAAGCTTGATATAAACAATTTTGTCTGTACACATTCAAAATTCCCAAGAAGGAATTAGTATTTGTTAGAAATTGCGTTCTATTTTTTTACGTTTCTGAAGTCAAGTTGAGGAATGTCTCAAAGTTAAATTTCGGTTTAATTTGGCGTAGAAGTTAATGGGAACGAACGGGCATCGGAAGAGACGTAAGGGGAAGGATGGGCGTTTGGTTTTGAAATCGAAGGGAATTCACGTTAGGTTTGACAGTAGCTAGAACTGAACGGAGATTGTTAACTGTTATGTAGTGACCCGGCATTAATTCGCCAGAAATAGTGGACTTTTCACTCTATGTAATATGTCATATTTGAAAGAGTGACCATTGCTTCGGTTTTCTGAAGATTTTATAATGTTTGAAAAGTGAACAAGTTTGGTTCCTCTTTTTTTTTAAGAAATCCCGTTTTTCCAAGGTCTGTACAAATGCCTCTTCACCCCATTTAGTATGTTATTGGAGCAGTTTTTTATTTGAATGTGCCAGTGTGCCAGTTTCAGCCTCCAATGTATAAAGCTTTTCGTTGATGGTGTCAAGATAGCTTCTACCCCAGAGATAACAAGGTTTCCAGAAGTTTAAGTGAAAATAATAGAATTAAAGGTAACATTTAATGTATAATTTTCCAAGTAAAATAGACATTTTTTTTCTAAGTATCATTAATTGCTTTTGTTTAAAATTTAAGAATCTGTCATAATTAAAATTATATGTAATAGGGCCTGGTAATAACTGTCATAATTTTTATTTTGTCTTAAAGTATTTTGTTGACATATGACAGCTAGCTTTAATCTGTTTTTGTGGCGACAATATTTGATTTATTTGTAGAAAAGGTTAAATCTTACGATATTTTCATTTATAAGGATATCCGTAATTTCAATAATCTATTTTGGCCACAGTGATAAATAACCTACCAACCATTTTGAAACATTTTGTAGCAATCTCCATTGTAAACAGATAGGACACGTGTAATTTTTTTCTTTGTAATTTTGTATTTTGCAACTATTAATATAGTATATTTTTTGTGCCATCTGTATTTTGATAACTGATTTATTTTTTGTGTTTAGTTTAGAGAAGTCTCCTAACCCTTGTGTGTGTATTCTTGATTTTAGGTAAGAAGAACCTTTCTTTCTTCCAGCAGGAAGTCTTCTCGAAGCAGTGTCCGAATTGAAATAGCTAGAGATATTTCTTGTTGTCATATATTGTTCATTTTGTTCCAGGAGATTTATGTAAGTATCCCTTTGTTTCGTTTTGTAGTTACCCCAATCCAACCTTTTTGATTTAACTTATCCACGACCCAGTTCTCCAATTAACCCCTGAGTGCCGTACGCACAAGTATCGATTGTTTTGCTTGCTCTATCTCCACCCCAATAGTTTCCGCCCCCAACTTTTACCCTCATAATCTTACCCTGAGGTAGGCAAAATATTATCGTTACAAAGTTACTCGACCAGAGCATAGCGCTAAAGGAGCTATTCCGAAAATCATAAGTGGCTAACGACTTCTGAATAATAGCTTGGAACGCAAACAGATTTTTACAACATCAGATCGAGTTGCAAGTAGTACTTGAGTCGAGTTTCTCAGACATTGAGAACATTGATCTGTTTCTAGTTTCTGAAACACATTACACTAAAGAGCCATATACAGATTGAACCAAATTAAAACGGAACATACAATTTAATACATGTCTGTTTGAACTGCATTTGAAATAGTGGACCAATATAAAACTTGGACCAAATAAATCCATACCTGGGTATAGACATTGTATAAAATATCGTTCAACTATCTGTCTCGCAACAAAGTTGTTTGCGTAAGACGGGTTTGTCTAAGGAGGCGATAATAGTTCAGGAAATGAAGTTCGAAAAAAGTTAAAACCTCGCAATTTTTCGTCCTGCATGTATCCAGTTGAAATTTTAGCAAAAGGTAGGTAATAGCCCAAGGATCAAAATCTATATCGAACCGAAGTGCGCTGAAGGGTTTTAGGGGTGAAAACTACCCCTAATTGTCAAAAATTATAAAATAACATATTAAACCTGAATATGGGTAAAATTTGGTTTGAATTAATTAAATAATGATAGTTTCGTGCTTTTGAATAAAGTTCCATCATATTTTAACCCTTAAAAAGCGACCCTTATTAGAGATTAATATAAAAAAATTAGTAATGCGAAGAAAATGATTTCACCTTGGAACGATTTGCATAAAAATTTGGAATTAAGCTCAACTCACCCTCTGCTTTATAGTTTATGTCATGCCGATGAACCCTGATTGTTCTTAGGGGTAAAAACTACCCCTAATTTTCAAAAATTGTAAAATAATATTACAAATCTTAAGATGAGTGAAATTTGGTTTGGATTAGTTAAATAGTGAGTTTTTTATACTTTAAAATACAAATTCATACATTTTCAACCCTTAAAAATCAATTGCTATGAGTGCTATAGGTGAAAACAATTTTTTGCCCAAATTTTGCAACTTTTCAACTTTTGAAAATCACCCTTTACAACATTGTAGTTTTTATAAACTAATTTATAAGATATAAATTGAAAAAAGTCGAATTTAATACAAAAAAAATTATCAACATAAAAAGGCACCATATATTCTTATACATTTACATAAATAGTTGAAAATATTTACATTTATAGGTAAAACAATTATAATATTAATTTTATTCGTCATCAATTACATCTTCATCGTGATCTATATCATCCTCATCTTCTTCAATTATTGGTGGACTGTTATTGCACCCTTCACCTGAGCACCCAGAACAAGTAGAGTTACAGTATAAACCAACTTTTCTGCACCCATATGAAACGCCGCATCCTTTTTTGCATTGGCAAAAAATAATTTTCAAAAATTTATTGGGTGCAGGTTGTTTGTTCATGCGTACGGGTAATAACAAACCATCTTTGGAATACCATCCCCAATCTGTTGCTCTGATATTTTCCTTGCCAAGCAATAGACATATGAGCAGATGTTTTATTCTGTTGTATGGGATTTCAAAATAAGAACGCTTAAAATTTCGAATGTATAACGCCCCACTAGCTAATATACCGGTTTTGTAGATTATTATGCTCCGAATTTTCCGGAAAAAATTAACTGGTTTTTTTAACGTATTTCCTTTAATTTTTAACGATAGAGTGTTTCTTCAAAAACGAATTGTAGAGGTTTTTAATAGCTACAAGGATCTGTGAATTAAATATTTTTGGAACCCTTAGTTTTTAAATGGGGTGAGTTTAAAGGGCTCGAAAAAGATGGTGCTTGATCGTTAATCGATGCTTTAAACGGCTATATCTCGCCAAATATTCATTGTACAACAAATCTAAATAAAGGATAATTTTAGTCATTAAAAAAGCTACAATTTGGTAATTTTTATGTTTTTCATATATTCAGTATTTTCGGGCATATTTAAAAAAAGAAGGGTAAAAAATATGAAATTGTAGATCGTTTCTCGCTTTAAGCTGTACTTTTTCTAAAACTAAGCATTTTAAATGGGTCAAACTTCTTGAACGTATTAACAATACATCTACAAAATGAATTGCAGAAGGGTGAAGATCGATTTTAATTATGGGGGTGGTTAGGGTGTTGTTTTCCTCGATTTTTTCGTAAAAAATCTTTCAAATTTGGCATTTGAAGAAAACCGCTGAACATTGATATTGTATTTGTAATTGTATTTGTCTTTTTAAAAGCTACAAATTTGTTCTCTACAATTTTTTTGATAAAATGCACCATTTTCGAGTTATTCGCGAAAAATCGATTAAAAACGTGGATTTTTTCGTCTAAAAGTTGTTACTTTCAATCGCGAATAACTTGAAAAATATCATTTTATAAAACAAATGTATAGCACATTTTTTTGTTTAGAATCACTTTTCTAATCGAAACCTGTAGTAAAAAGGTAAAAAAAAATTTAACCCCGGAGATGGGGTGGCAACCACCCCTTAGGCTTTGGCGCACTTTGGTTCGATATAGATTTTGATCCTTAGGCTATTACCTACCTTCTGTTAAATTTCAAGTCAATCCACGCCGCACGAAAAAATTGCGAGGTGAAATTCTACATTTCCTGGACTATAACTGGTTTGACAGCATAATAAAATCGTAGATTTATGTGTAGCTTTCAATTTTTATGAGTTCAGAATCCAGCAGCCCGCTGAAGTA